CTATGTATCAGGTACTGTTCTAAACATGTCACATATATTAATTTATTTAATCTTCACAATAACCCCAGGAAGGAGAGACTATCTGTGGTAGCTGACCTCTAAGATAGCCCCAATGAACCCCATCTTCTAGGGTTCACACCTTTGAATCTGGGTCAGCCCATGACTTGTGTTAACTAATAGAATACGGTGAAAGTGGGCTGTGCCCATTCCTAGCCCTGCCTTTAAGACGACTGAAAGCTTCTGCTTCTTCCCTCTTGGAACACTCAGTTGTGGGAACCATGAGATGTCATGTAAGGGAGATCACGTGGAGAGTCTGTGTGGAAGGGCCACATGGAGGGGCCCTGTGGAGGAGCCACATGGAGAGGACAGACTCTGAGACTGTAAGGAAAGGTCAAGTGGCCCAGCTGTCCAGGTCCTGATGGTGTCTCCAAATGACTCTGGAAAACACCCCCATGCAAGACCAGCAGAACTGCTGAGCCTAATCAACTCATAATAAAATGGTGGTCAGGCCATTAAGGTTGGGGAGTTAAGCAGCAATCGTCAACTGAGACATGACTGCTACAAGGATTATTCTAGGTATGTCTGACCTCAGAGGCTTTAACCAGTGGTTCTCAACCCTACAGAGGTTTAAAAAATACCAATTAAATCACAGTATCTGGGAGTAGGGGCCTGGAGTAGATTTTTTAAAAAACATCCACAGGTACAGCTGAGGTTGGGAATCACTGTTTCCAAAACTTGCCTAAAGATAAGAATGCCTGACACACTTATTTAAAAAACATTCCTGTACTCCAACAGATACAATGATTCAGAATTTCCATGGGAGAGCCCTGTTAATCTGTATATGTAACATGTACCCTCAGGTGAATCTTAATTTCAAGCAAGTTTGGAAAAGAACTACTGGATGACTGCGGTCAGATGAGGAGAAATTAGAAGAGAAAGAGAAAGAGAAAGCTCAGCTTTGGGCTTTGAAGATCTCTCAGGTTTGGAGAACTATTTGGCAGTTTAGCCTACACTTAGCATACAACACAGCAATTGCCCTTTTGGGTATTCTCAACAGAAATAAGTCTCATGTCCACCAACAGACATCCACAATGATGTTCATAGCAGCTTTACTCATAATGGCCCCAAACTGGAAACAACCAAAATGGTCATCCACAGGAGCATGGGTGAATAAGCCTTTTCCCACAATGGACTGCTAGACAGCAATGAGAAAAAACAGAAGTACTGATACACACACAACACGGATGAATCTCAAAGACAATGTTACCTGAAAAAAGCCAAACACAAAAGAGTGCAGATTCATTAAGTTCAAGGACAGACAAAACAAATCTATGGGGATCAAAATCAAAACAGTTGCTATCTCTATGTATGATGTGGGAGTGGATACTCATACATGTGTGCATGTGTGAGTGTGCAAGCATGTGTATGCATGTGCACATGTGTGCATTGTATATACATATGTGCATGCCTTGTGTATATGTATATGGGTATATGTATGTTCATGTGTATGTGTGTGTGGTATGTGTGTGTGTGAATTCTGCCCCCTTGTAGTATGCTGGGAAGTCTTCCCAGGGTGGTAGTCATCCAGAGAGGAGGACTTACTTTCATTTGGGGCCCACCTGAGAGGCCTTTGCTTGCTTCTTTGTTTGCTTGTTTTTTTGAGATATACACTACAAATAATAAAGTGCTGTTCAAGGCCTCTTATTAAATAAGGGTATGCTTATTTAAAAAACACCTTGTCTGCATGAATCTTATAATCTAGTGGGGAGATACTACAGTAAAAGGCAGACTAAGTTTTCATCCACCCATTCCTCATGAATCTTTTGAGCATCCACTCTGGGTCAGTCCCTGGGAGTGCTGCAGGAACCCAGCCCCAGCCCTGCCCTCCTGCAGCTCACAGTCCAGGTGAGGTTTGGAAAACAATACAGTGAGTGGTCCAGTACAACTCCTCTCTCTTGTCCCCCATCCTGCCTATTCTATCTCCTGAATATCTCCCAAGTTCATTCCCATTGGCCCTGTCCTAGTTCATGCCTTATTTTCTCTCCTCTCTGAGCCATTGTGGTAGTTTCCTGACCAATCATGTTTCCAGTATCATTGCTTCTGGTTCATTTTCCAGACCAACGGCCCTTATTTAAGTGCTCAATGTAAAACAGTGTTTAAAAAGTGATGGCTCCCCCTTGCCCAGGCCAGCTGGCAGCTCTGGCATCGGACTGTGGGTTTGAAGCTCCACTTACAAGGTCTATAACTGTGACCGTAAGTAAGTTCCCTAACTGCCCTGAGCCTCATGTGTGTCTTCTGTACAATGGAAGTGAAATAATATAACAACAACAAACAATACCTATCTCACTGAAGAGGCTGAGCTTTAATCTGTACTAATAGCTACTCATCTAGTATGTGCTAAACCCTCCGCACATACCATCTGTTTAATCCTCCTAATCACTCCCATTGTTTGTTACCCACCCCCCCCCCCGCCCCCACATGGACCGGTAAACTGGAGGTGTTTGCATTCATTAGGGCACCCCTTGGTTTCACTGTTTACCTTCTCCCAGCTGGATCTTATTCAACTTTCAAGACTCCACGCAGGCACTACCTCCTCCCAGGGGCTCTCTCTGAGGCTACATATGGAGCTGGAGGCCCCTCAATACTCTGGGTCTCCACAATAGCCTGGATTGACTTTGTCTGTTGACCTCCTCACTCTATGTCTCTGCTTGCTAGAGTGTGAGCCCCTTCCAGGCAGGCTGCCTGAATCAAACTTCTTCCTACACCCTGAGGCTGGACCGTCTCCCACACAGGCAGGAGCCCAAATGTGTTTCCTGACCTAACCAGAACATGCAAGCACTTCCTTAAGGGAGATGAGCTTTGAGTTAGCCTTGAAACATGGGTAAGACTTTTTAAAATTATTTAAAAATAAGGTGTACATGCACACAATACCAAATCCTAAAGGAACAAAAGGGCTTACAAGGAAAATTAAAAGTAGGTCACCTCTCAGTTACTCAGCTCCCCTCCCCAGAGGCCACCACTGGTATCAGTTTCTTCGTATTCTATGCAGACAAGAATTGTGCCTCTTTCCCTCTTTTATTTTTCAAAAATTTAAACCAACAGAAAAGTTGCAAGAATAGTACAATAAACACCATATACCCTTTGCCTAGATTCACCAATTAACTTTTTGCCATGTTATGCTAAATATTTTACAAGCATTATATAATTTAATGCTCACAACAATCATACAGTTGTGCCCATTTTGCAAATGAGGTAACTGAGGCAGTTTAAGGGTCTTTCCCAAGGCCACACAGCTAGTGAGGTAGGAGCTTTATCCCTCAGGCTGCACAGGATTTTGATTCCACCTTTTGCAGCTCCCTTAAGTGTTTTCTTATACCAAGGTGAAATCCACCTCCCTGGGATAGTCACCAGATGATCAGAGGAAAAGTACACCCTCCTGCTAGGGAAGCATTTACTCCTTCCCCTCCTAAACCTTTCCATGCCCTAAGAAACAGCTGCTGTGGCTGCCAATACCACACGCTTCAATGCCCTCTCCTCTGTGAAGGTTGAGTTAACTCACCTCCGCTTAAAAAACTCGCCTGACTCTGCTGCCAATGGGATGACATTTACACAATTGAGCTCTGAGTACAAGGCCTGTGTGATCTCGCCCTCACAAAATCCCTGTAGCCTCATCCTTCCAGCTCCTGCCTTCCCTACTTCCCCTCTCACTGTCTGCTCAAATTTCCCCTCTACGGTGAAGTCACCTCTAGTTTTCCTAAAGAGTGCCTTTCCCTACAGCCTGCTGCCCGTGTCTCCTCACAGCTTCCTCACAGTGGTATTTTGGCTAGGAGAGTGGACAGTGAGCAGTGGACAGAGTAGACTGGCAGCTCGGCCCCGTTCCTAGCGGAGCCACTTGCACAAATTACTGCAGGTGTACGAGTCTTCATTTCCTCAAGGTTATAATGGGGGAAATCATAGCTAGCTCAGAACCACGCACGGAGCAAACCTTTACTTCTGTCCTGCAACAGAACTGACGGCTCCTCAAGGCTGACAGCTCCCAGTCATCCCTTGAAACACTGTCTCCCATTCTCTGCGCCTAAGTTTTCTCAGTGTAAAATACGAGCTCTTGGACCAGTATCTAGCACTATTACTAATGCTAACTACTACCACCGCGGCCAGTATGTTACTGCGGCCGGCACAGCTTGGGGCCGGACCGGGACAGTGCTCTGTCTGATGCCCAGGATCCGCGGGTAAGGCGGGAGGGCGAGCTGGAGGTTTGCGGCGAGCCCCGCCCTCCCCGCGGCCCTCCCGCTCGCCCCGCCCTCCCCGCGGCCCTCCCGCTCGCCCCGCCC